AAAGTCCAGAACTTATTTAAAATTCCTTAGTTTGCAGACCACCTAGCCACCAACTTTCAGAACTGGGCGTCAGACACTATCAGCAGTCACAAACGCTTTAAATGAATTGTATCTCCCCGACTATGAACTTAACATGTACCCTCCCATCCTTTGCTCCAAGCCTTCAGTTTTGGACATCAGCCTCAATTTTCCTAGGAAAAACAAATTTAACCTTTGATTTAACCTTTCTGCAAGCTATTTTTACTTCTATCTCAAGCTTATTTTAACCTCAGTAGCCAATAAATGCTTAAAGGTCAAGCACCATTCCTAAGAGCTGGGCTCCTTACCCCTGGGAGAAAGGCTCAGATCACTGATTTTTTTTCCCCAAGCCAAATCCCCTCTTAGAAATGTCCCAGTGGTAGGAGGGTCTGAGCTCAAACCCATAAATAAACAATTTTCACCGCGGGTGCTGAGAGAAGGAGCTGGGAATTTTCCCTGTGGATGCCATCCCTTCCCATTCAAAAAGTGCTCAGGATGTACAGGTACGGAGATAGCTATTCATTATTTTTTTTCCCCCCCTCTAATTGCATTCGAGGTTGACAATTCAGCATCCCCCCCCCCCCTCCTCTTTGCAGAGCTTCCCAACTTCCAGCTCGCTGCCTCCATCCCCGGGACACACACACACACACAGAGCAGGGTCAGGGTGGCAGGTGAGGTTCTCCCAGCCCCCTCCATCCTAAAAGCAAAGGGAAGGGGCGGTGCGGGAGCCGCTGGCTCCCCCCGGGTGGGAGGAGGGAGCCCGGGGAAGGGGCAGGTGGCCGGCCCGGGGCGGGGGGGGGGGGGGGCGGCTGGGGGGGGTTCCTCCCCGCGGGACCCCCCCCGTCAGGGCCAGAGCGTGGGGGACAGATGGGGGGGATGTTTTCGAGTGATGCGGGGAAAAAGAGGGGGGGGGGGGGGTGGCGGCCGTCGTCTCCCCCCACTGCGGGCCCAGCAGCCACGGGGAGCCGGCGGCGGGGGAAGGCGGCGGGGAAAGCCCCGAGGCGCGGCGGCCGGGAGCGGTGGGGAGGGGGGAGAGGAGGAGGAGGAGGAGGAGGAGGAGGAGGAGGAGGAGGAGGAGGGAGGGCAGGCGGGAGCCGGCAGCCGCCACGCCCCCGGGCACCGCCATCCCGGCCCCGCGCAGCGCTCCGCGCCCGCGGGCCCGCCGCTCCCCCGGCCCCAAAGGCGGCCCCGCGGCCGCGCAGCTCCGCAGCTCCCCCCCCGGTACCGCACATCGCCCCGAGGAGCCGCCGTGCGCGGCCCCCCCCCCCCCCCCCCCCCCCCGCCTCCCCCCGGCGGGCAGGGCGCTCGGCAGCCTCTGCCGCAGTCATTAATTTGGAAAAATAAAAAAGGCTGAAGCTGCGAGCCCGACCCTTTAAAAGTTCTTGTTTACATTCCCGCTGTCCTCCCCCTCGTACACTTTAAAACAAGAGTGACCAACATGCGCAATCCACCCCTGGAAATGCTGCACATCCCCCGCCTCGCAGCCGGGGGGGAGGGAAGGGGGAGGAAAAAAAAAAAAATTTAAAATAATAATTAATAATAAAATAACAAACGCAAGCGTAGCAGGGGGAGCTGCAAAATAACCATCCGCTGCAAAATAAGCCCATTCCCGGCGCCAGCCCCGCCGAGCCTTTACCTTTGCCAGGAGAGTGTCCTCCAAGAGTTGAGGCTGTCTCTCGGGTTACGGGCGGGGAGGAGGCGGGGGGCGGGGGATGCTCCCGCAGTCCCCGGCCGGGAGAGCCCCCTCGCCGGCTCAATCCGGTGTCATTGCCGGGGCCGCGCCGGCCGGGCCCTGCTCAGGACCGCCCGCCCGGGACCTCCATGGATGCGGCCCCGCTCCCAGCCGAGATGGCCGCTCCGCGGCGGCCGGGCGAGCCCTGCCCGCCTGTTTCTCTTTCTTTTTTACCCCGCACTTCCTCAGGCTCTCCTCGCCCCGCCGCCCGCCCCGGCTCCGGCAGGGAGGCGGGGAAGCGACTTTCGGAGCGGGGACGGATAATGGTGGCGGCGCTTACACACACACACACACACACACACCCCCTAACCACCAACCACCACCACCACCACCCGCTTCGGCCGCCCCAAATCTTCAATTTCTTGCCCTCCTGCGCCGTTTCCCCCGCCCGGGCGCAGCGGCAGGGCCGGGGGCGGGCAGCGCGGGTCCCATCCCGGGCCGTGCCGCCCCGCTCCTCACCCCCCCGCCGCCCGCCGGGGCCCCATGGCGCTGCCCGGAGCCCCAGCGCACCCCCGGCCCTGCACACTCACACTCGCTCGCACACTCACACTTTCCCTCCTCTTCCTCCCTCCTCCCCGCTCCCCCTCGCCGCGCTGCGCACAGGCGTACACGGAGCCGCTTCTGCAACCTTAAAAAAAAAAAAAAAAAAAAAAAAAAAAAAAAAGCTTATACTTAAAAAAAAAAAAAACCTTTTGGCGCCATATTAATGACGTACTTAAAATTTGCCATTTCTCCTGCGTCAAAAAGACGGTTCTTGCCCATCGCGGAGCGGGCGGGGGCCGCGGTGTGGAGCCGCTTTCCCCCCCCCCCCCCCACCCCCACCGCGTAGCAAACTTCCGCGGCCGCGGGGCGGGCCGCGCCGCCGGCGTGGGAATTGCCGCGGATGGGCCGCAGTGCCTCCGCGCTGCTGCGCGGGCCGCGCTGGCACACGCGGAGGGGCGAGTAGCGGCTGGGCTGGGGATGCGGCTGCAGCGGCAAAGCTCCGCGGAGATGGGGAGGTGGGGGGCATCGTTCCCCCCCCCCCAACTTCACAGAGTTTCCGCGGAGCAGCGTGGCTCCCGCCAGCCCCGGGGTGACCCCGCTGTGTGCTCCCCAAATCCATCGTTGGGGCTCCGGGCTGGCTGTGGCCGCTGTTTCCCCTGGATTAAAACCAGCAACAGCACAGCTGTCGAGATAGAAACGCTTTCTTAAATTAAAATAATAATAATAATTGGATGCAGCACTCAATACAGCGTACATCTTCCCAAACTCCCAGCGGCCCTTACAGTCAAACAAATTGCAGAAGTTGCCTTGTGCTCTTTTAAACCATTACTGCAGAAGATTAAAATTCAGGTTAAAGATGTTCTTTCAATCACAATCTGCCATCATTTCTTAAATTCATTAAACTGGCCAGATGTAAAACCGTGAGTTACAGTCTGTTAAAAACCATTGGGACCACAGCTAGAACCACCACAGCTACAGCAGTCAAATGTTCCCCACTGCACGTCCCTGCTATGGCTTCTTATAATTTGACAAACTTGAATCAATTAGCTGCAACTTTCTGCCTTGGCAACCTGTGCTGGACATTTGCCCAATGTTCCAAGTCCTTTGGCTCTTCCAACAATGAAAGCAGAGGAGAAGAGGAGCATTGCTTTGGTCATTATTGAGCTGGTTGAGGTTTTATAGGGTCTTGAAATTTGGCGTGAGGCAGCTTTTTATGGCCTTTTAGATAAACCCACCCAAATTAGTCATGTTATTGGGCTTTGAAGAAGAACAGCTCATAACACAGGGCAAAAATGATGCCTGATTCTGGCTGCTGAAATCTCTCGGGATGCTGCTCCCAGGGGCATCTGCAGCCCCAGTGCTCTGAGCCCCCTCAGCAGCCCTCTGGGCATGGGGAAACTTCAGCCCTTAGTCAAAAAAGCCTTGCCTGGTAGCACAAGAGCGGCGAGACTCGCGAGCACGGCCTTTTTCCATCAGTCTCAGCCAGCCCCGGGTGGGCTCTGGCCCCCCTGCTCCTGCACCCAGCAGCATTCACTGCCAGGACTTCACCTACAGATCCCACCCCATCCACATGCACGGGATATTTTGAAGGTCGCTGTGTTACCCGGTCAGAACATCAGAAACCTCCAAAGTGAGGCATTCCGTACCGATTTACAGGGAGTTCCTTGTGCATGCATATTCTAATGCAGTTCTTAATTACATTGTCACAATCTGTTTTCCATATGACACCTGCATGCCACGGACCTGCTCCATAAGTCAAAAAGGAAACAAATTTTGGCCAGATCCTCATCTTACCTGCAGAACCAAAAACTGCCCATGGAACAAAGCAAGGGCTGCAAGACATGGCCACAGTCTGACAGTGAGGACAGGATTAAACTCTCCCCAAGAAGAGGATTCTCTCCTTGCCCTTGCCCAAGGCTTTGTAACTCTAACAAAGTCATTAAACCAAACTTTTGGGTTGTACTGCCCACATTGCGGGTGTGTAGCTTGAAACCTTTAGCCTGAATTGCTGACATCCATCTTAGTACAGCTGGAAGCAGTGGGTGCTGTGCTTGCATGTATGAAGTGCTGTATCATGTTAAATGCTCTGAAAAAGCAGACATTACGCTTCTCAGATGGAGTACCCTGAATTAGTCAAAACTGACCTTAATCCATCCATGTGTCACCCTGACCCGTCTTCATAACGGGTGTTTGGGGAGGATTAATGAAGGTGCTGAAGCACTGATGCAGTGTAGTGGAAAGTACCGTAGGAAAAGCCGTGAGGAAATTAATAATTCTGTCTTCAGAGGAACCTGCCAACATCCCTGCTCCTGTCCTGTACAGCACACTACAGCCTTGCGACCCTCCTGGCCATTTCTCTAGGATTTTTGGACAACACCTCTAAAGGAGGTCACAGCATGTCAAAATCCAGGTATACAGCTCAGTTCCTCAGGTGCAGATAGGTCATGCACAGCAGGTCCGCAGCATCCCTGGGCACAACCTCAATGCCTATTTGCTATCCAGAAGATAAGCACCTTGTTCGGCTTTGAAAACAGCACACATGAATATCAGAGCTGTATTTTCTATTGCTGCGAAATCCAAAAGTGGTCAGACATGTGAATAATGTGCTGAGCTAAGGCCTAGGATCATGTGCTGAACAATAGGAACGAGCCAGCATTGCTGAGCCCCTCGCTGACCATCTCATGCACTGCACGCCAGGGCGACGCAGAAGAAAAACAGTATCTGAGCATGCAATTAAAATCTTGTTCTGCTTCAACAAAAAGCTGTAGATTAAGTTGCATGGACAAGAAGACTTCGGACATTTCTGCATTTTGAGTACTTTCCTGGCCAGGAGTGAATGCATGCTTAACAGATTTTTGGCTACCATATATGCACACTTCAACAAAACTTGTACACAAATGCATGTATGTAACACATACATATAAAATACACAGAGATAACACCTGATGGATGGTTCTACAGAAAGGTCATGTATATGATACATAGGATACTCAGTTTACATAGTATGACATTTATATATCACATGCTCTGACAGGGTGTTGTCAGTTGGGATTTGCTAAGAGAAGAAATAAATGTAATAATAAAAACAAAAAAAGCATTTTGGAAGAAATAATACTGCACAAATCCTCTAAAAGGACAGAATTGTCTACACAACAAAGGCTCGGCTGACTGATGCTAAAATAAGCAGTTATGCAACAAGTAAGAAATACGATCTCCAGGGAAGGAACCAGGAACATTTTCCTTTCATCTTCATTCACCAATGCTTATTTTTGTAAACCTAAAAGAAAAATATAGGCAACCTTTCGATGATGAGCACGTAAGTAGAATTAGCAGATGTTTTGAAGTGAAGGACAGAGTCTTTATGAGTTTTGTATGAGTTCTGCAGAGTTAAATCCCCTCCCCAAAGTGCTGCAGAGCTGTTGCTCCCACTGCTCTTGTTCCAGGGCTGCTACCAGGCTCTGGGAGAGGTGGCCTGACTAGGTGTGAATACGTTGGGTTTAGGGATGAATTGGCTCACCCTAGAGCTATGATTACAAAATGCTTGAAGCAACTTCAGGAGAAGGAGCGTACAAAATAGTTCATCTCCCAACACTTGGGGTTAATTAAACTTCTCAACAGGACTTGAGACCAGTGAAAATCTCAAAATCTCAGTGTAGACAGATCTCACTCGAGAGGAAGAAGAAAACCCAGTTTCCTTGTTGGCATCAACTTTGATTATTGCAGTACGTTGGCACCAAACATACGGATAGGACGGATCCAAGGGAGCGCGAGTAGTCTGCAAATATAATGAAAATCCAATGTAATTTTGAAGACCTTTAGAAGCAATCTATTTACTAATGTTAGTGAGAAACCACGAGAAAAACTCTGCTCTCTCAGCCTGTTCCTGCTGCCCAACGCAGGGCAGGGAGATGCTCTGATGACAGAAAGCTCGCTAAGATCCTCAGAAGCACCACAGAACCTGAAAACAGAACAGGAGACATGTGGCTGCTAGTTTACTGCCTTAGCTACCCTCTTCTGAGGCCTCTGGTAGCCAGAAGTCATCAAAATAGCTGCATGGCTACTTTAATTTCTACCAAGGACCAGAGCAGTACACAGCCATTCCAGGAGGGCAACACAAAGGTGATGAAAACCTTTCTGCAGACATATCCCAGGTGGTGTCATCCAATATCCCAGCTATAATCTGGCTATTTAGTTTTTTATTAAAATATGTGTTAATTTGGAGAGTAGTAAGCAGATGCAGCAGAAGGAAAAAGAAAAAGCTCTGTTCTAAATTGCAGTAATAATCACTCCCATTTTCGAGAATGAACTACTACAGAAAGATCAAGGGAGAGATGGCTGCTATGGCCATCATATAAACTAATCCCTTTTCTTTCTCATTCATTCTTCATAATTCTTTTCCTCTCTGAAGCCAAGAAAAAATACTATACTTACAGGAGAAGAAAATTTGATTTGGCAGATCAGTGGATAGTGAGATTTTGTTTGCAATCTCAATTACCTTCAGTAGCTAGAAATTTGGTATCAAAATAAACTGTAAACAAACAAAAAAGATATAGCATTACAAATGTCCATCCCTTGATGCATAGCTCAAAAATTCTCTACGTTCTAGCAACAGCTGCTTTAATATCTTTCAAAGAAATGGCAGCCTCTGTCTGTCTGAAGGGATTATCTTTAAGGAATGCATCCGTAAGTGGTTTTGTGCAAAGATGCTCACGTTCTTGCGGGTTTTGTGCACTGAATTTTTTCTGCCAAATTTCAAGATTCCTTTTTTTTTTTTTTGGAGTAGTTGTTGGTTTCTCTGTTTTCTGTAAGTTCATTTCTATTACAAAGCATATCTAATGCAGCACGTTTCACCTGGTCCCCAGACTGCAAGAAGTGGGGCTTTCAAAGTGCCCTTGATGGCAGATTTGGGGAAATAAAGACCATCAGTGGTCAGCTGAACAGCTTCAGTGCTGCTCCTGTGACAGGAGACCTGTTGTAGCTCCTCCTGCTTTGGGTGGATCCTCCGGCATCACGGCAGCCTCCCCTGCAACACACTTCCCCTCTTTCGACCCTTTGCTCCCTTTTTGTTGGCATTTCAAACTTTCCACATTAGATGCGGTGATGGATTAACACAGCTCCTCGAACCGCTCGGAGCTTCATGTGAAGATGTTTGACTGCTGCAGGCAAACTCTTTAATTCTGGGTGATGGACGATGAAAACAAAAGTAGATTTAGAATAGTTCAGTCGGAAGGAACCTACAAGGATCATCTAGACCTAAGTACCTCTTCTCTCTTTCACGAAAGGCGCTCCCAAAGGCAGGACAGGCCATCGCAAACCCTTGTCCTGCCCATTCTCACCTCACAACCCAGGGAAAGATCCACCTAGGTGTAAAATCTGTTGTGTTTTACTCCCCTGAGCAGGCCAACAGTTTTCTTCCTTCCACAGCTGCCGTGCCTTGGGAGGAAGGTTAACAGCCAGGGGCCAGTGGGTGTCTTCCTACCTGCAGATCCCATCACAGAACATGCAATTACTCTCCCAATTAAAAAAAAAAAAAAAAAAGACATTAAGGATCTGAGTCACAATTCAATGCGCCATTTGAGTGAATGGTACATATGCTAAACAATACATGCATCAGGACTGCATTAATCCACATTTTATATGGATTCCCTCTAGACGTTCAGTTTATAACCAAGTTGGCTATTTCCCTGTATTTCTCTGAAGTTGGAGGGTGTGAAAAAGACATTTCCATTTCATTGACTAAGTTCCCAAGGGGAGAGTTTATGAAAGTGCAAGTGCATAATTTACTGCCTGACAGGATAAAGATGGTATCTGGTTATAAAAAAATAGTGTACCCTGAAAAACAAAATTGCTAGAACAGACATTTGTTTTCTGTAAGTACCATATTTTAGAAGCATTTAATTTAGCTTAGAAGCACTGTTAAAAATATATGCATTGTAAATTGCAGCTGTATAACATGATATTTATCAGATAATGTCACTGAATAGTCTCCTGTTGCAATATAAATGCCAAGGCATTTATAGAAAATAAATGTTGAAGTAGAGAGCTTTCTTTTCAAAGTGGAAAACCATTATCTCATCCAAAAGTCATAAATAAAATGATGAGGGTTTGCTTACGGGGTTGGTTTTAACCATAGGGGGGCTGACATGGACACTCCATCGCCTGAGTAATATCGTCAAGCAGCAAACTTAGCCTGGATGTGGGCAGAGAGGGAGGCACGTGAGATGGGCAATGGCAGTTCAGAAAGACCTAAGAGTAGCCAGAAGGAGAAAATCAGCCTCTAATTAATTTGAGGAAAAGAGATGAAGATAGAAAGTGAGGGATTTCTTGAGATTTACAACTTCACACAACATTTATTACAAGAAAATTCATCAGGTCTGAACATAGCCAGGACTCAGTACAATATACCACAATACCAGCTTTTGAAAAGGGTGCCTGAAAGTTGGCTCTGAAAGCCACATTTAGTCATATAAATGCATAATTTGATTTTCAGAGGATGGAGCACCTGGCAGTTCCTATTGATTTCTTCAGGGTTTGGATCAGGTTGTGCATGTGCAGCACTATTCATTAGCATAACATGCAAAGGGCTATGAGAAAGGGATGGTAAATAAGATTTTGGATCCAAGATCTCCACCTTCTGCTCCTCTGAAATTTGAAGACGTTGATCTAGTCTTTTTGTCTCCTGTTAGAATGGGACTAAAATGAGGCTCATGCTGCCATTCATGCAGATCGACGAAGTGCTTTGCTGAGCAAGCTGCTTGCCACGTAGGCAGCTGGGTCCCAGCTTGTGCTTTTTGCACCACGGGTCCATTTGTTGGCATTGTCAAGACTGGAAAACACTGCTCCGACACGAGCAGGACCCACCACGTGAGCTGCCTCCCCACTGCTGCCAAAGCAGGATCGCTGGAGGTGCGAGGCTCATCACAACATGGGAGGAGCAGACAAAGAGCACCCATGGCACCAACTGCCTCTGGAGTAATCCTGCTAATTTCATTTCAGTTATTCTGGGTTTGACATAGCCAGATAATCCACATTTTTATGGGATTTATACTTTTCAAATCATTTTTAGGCTGCGTAGTTAGGAGCAGAGTCTGCCTGTAAATTCAAGAAAGCTGCACCCATAATATTTATTTTGTTGTGTCTGGAAAGCCAGAACAGCCACCTTACAGTCCATAGGCATGCAGTCATCAGCATCAGGGTGGGAAAACAAGGGCATTTGAATATTGGTCACAAATCAGACACTTTTCTAGTTAACAGTGGAAGCCAGAGTGGGTTTACCACCCTCAAATGCCTTCAAGAGCAGCCACTGAATCTGCCTTAGCTGAAAGCTTGAGCACTGTTCTTCTAAAAGAAGGAATGGAGTTCCTGCAGCCCTCTCCTGGCTCCAAGAATTTATCCTTTGTGGTTCTGCTCTTTTAGCTACTTCTTGTATGGTTGTGTGGTATATCGTCTGCTTCTTCCTCCCTCTGTTTTCTCTTTCTGCTACCCATCACATTTTTCTTTGGGCAATCCAGTCCACTGATCCTCTTCAATGACTGTATTCATATAAAATTGCTGGTTATCCACTTTTCCACGCACAGTCATCTCTCTCCATTGCAGAGCACACTTCAATCTGCCCTGTAACATCACACCCCAGGCAATACAATCAAATCTGAGACTGGATGTGCTGAGCTGAATCCCTTGTTCTCACCCAACTTCATCCACTCCCTTGATCAGAGGAGCAACACACGCCTGGCACATTCATCATATACTCATTATACACAATGAATGCTGGAAATGTGTGTCTAAAATAACTTTTACATACAAGAAGTGGCTGGCTGGATGAATGGATGGACATCACCAGCGGTGGAGGGGATGTATAACACACTAACAGGACAGGTTTCTGGGCCACGTTTGGAAGAAAATACTTCAGTCCTGGCAGCAACTTGCAGAGGGAATCCCACACTGACCATTGCCCTCCCACAAGCATAGATGACCTCAAGGTTGTGCACCATGTTTGTAAAATATCACAGCAACAAGGGCCTGAAGACTTGTGAAATCACCACGTCCATTGTCTCCTGGGTCAGGATTACAGGCCCTCTGCAGAGGACATAGCAGCTATTGATATGAATTTACCTTTGCCCTTTGAAAACAGGCTACCCTTAGCTAGTACTGTCAGGCTGCTGAGCAGCCCCACATCCATCTGAGCCCTTTTCTGGTGAGCTCCACGGATGACAGACAACCATCAAAGCAACAATTCCTGCATGCCAGGACTTTAACACATTGTATATGCAACGCATACCCCCTTTATAGTGGTTATAATCTTCAAATCAATTGTACCTGGCAGCGGAAGTTTAACATTAATGACTTTCTTATTATGGATGGAAAAACCTTTCAGAGCTAATGAGCAGAAACAAGACCGCTTAGCTCCTACCTGAGGAGGTGACTCCACGGTCATGACCAACACTTGGAGCAGAGCTGTAGCGATGCTTGCTTTAGCACAGCAAATCCGGAAGAGTCGGTCTGGCAGGCTACACTGCCTCTGCCTTTGGAGCCGAGACCTGAGTTCAGAAAAGGCTTTAAGAATCTCAACTCGTGCCCACCTAACAGCAGGGAGGAGACAGTCACCCATCACACAGCCATCAACCCAGACGCATCACCCTACCCTGCGATACCAGCTGGGACTGGAGCCCCAGGGGAAGCCACGCTCTCCCCAGCCAAGGTGTGAAAGGAGGGATCAGTTTAATTTTACCTTGACAGCTAGAAGAAAATAGGACCCAGAGAGTTACACATTTAATTTCCAAGCTGGTCCCACAGGGCAGAAGGAATGGGTGAGCTGGGGAGGGTGTGTGCTCTGGCCCAAACGTGCGGGGCATCGTGTGGTGCCTGGGGTGGTGGCATCTGCCCTGGCATACCTCGGGGAGCAGCACGCCGCCCAGCCGCAGGCCTGGCTGCTGGAGGAAAAATAAACAAATACAGTGAGTCACAAAGGCAAGCGGCATATGACAGGGGACAGGTACTTATGCAAATAGACTGTTAACACCCAGCCAGACAGAGCTGATAAGCCTCCTAGGCCAGCTGGAGGCTTCTTCATCCTGCTGGGGGGAGGAGGAGGAGGACAGCTTTAGGATAACAATAGGAAAACCGAAAAGCAAGAGCAAGGCAGCTCTGGGAAGGTTGCACAGGGCTGCCTGGGACCAATCTGTTGCACCCTGCCATGCCAGCCTGCCGCTGCTCTGCTTCCCGCAGCATCCTCCTGTGCCGAGGAGGGTTAGTGTGTGCCATGGTGCCCATCACTGACACCTCCCGGGGGTGGTGGGTGCCTGCCATCGCACATCTCCCCGCACGCCCACGGCAGCAAGGTAATCAATCACACAGCAAAAGTTTCCCAAATTTGTGAGGCTGCAGCACAGAGGGAGCTGCCTTCCCCCACTCTTGTACTGTCCCCATAACTCTCCCCCAACCATCTCTGCTGACCAACCCCCTCCAGGAGCATAAATGAGAGGCAAATTATCCTTCTGCAATGCTGCTGGGGATCCCCCAGGAAGCTTCATATCTGGCCTGGCTGGGCTGCTGATAATCAGATAGAGGGGGTTTAAAATAATCAAGTCTAAGCAGCTGCAATCCAAACTGGAATAGGTAATGGGGTCAGAAAACAAACGCTGCAGCCAGGGCACAGCCAGAGGGTCTGCAGGGCCCAAGGGACAGGCTGAGCCAGGAGCTGTGATGCTTCTTCAGGATGCTGCCCAAAAACCAGTGTCTCCCAGGTTCCAAGCTTCTCTGGCACTGGGAAACATGCATGAGAGATCCCACGTGTTTCACATGGAGCCCTGAGAGTCAGGTGGCTCCTTCCCCCCCTCCTCATTGCATCCATCAACACAAGCCTGAGTTGTAGAAGAAAGGATTTTGCTGTCCCAGAGCTCCATTAGCCTCCAGGACTCCAGTCCCAGCAGTGCTGGAAGCTCAGGGGGTGCAGGACACCCCCTGCTCCTGTAGCATCACCACACAGGCTCCTAGACCACATCCCACGCTGGCTCTGCTGATACCTTCACCTGCCTTACCCAGGGGCAGGGAAAGAGGGGATTGCTAAATTTAGGGAATATTTGTTTCACCCACCACTCAGATTTCCAGCTCATATTAATGACGTAATGCTCCAATAGCGAGAAGCCGAAGTTTGCCCTTCCTGTGGTATTCCCTTGGGAAAAAAATATTACTGCAATGTAAAAGTGAAAATTGAAACAGGCTGGTGATTCACCAGAGAAAATGCCTCTCCCTTTTCCCTATTCAGTGAGGCAGAGATGAATGTTGTGAGGTTTGAAAGAAAAACTGAAAAAGCCTTTAATTAATCCCTGGAGGCTAAACTGTGCCAGATATGGACAGGATTTCTCCTCTGCCTCCTTTCTGGAGCAAGAACATACTGCTGTCTTCCTGCTGCAGCTCCTTCCGGGGGATTCTCCGGTCCCCAGAGGAAGATCCAAAGCATTTTCCAAAGCTTTTTTTGGGGAGATGGCAGCTGCCAGGGAAGCCTCGCTGCTGTCCCAGGGCAGTGAGGAGACCAGGAGCCCCCGCCAGCATTTCCCAGATCAGCACAGACTTTTGGAAGGTCCTACCTGCTGGGAGGAAACTTTCCAAGTTCAAGGTCAGGTTTGTTTGTCTTCCATTCTGACAGACACAAACTGTTATGCAATATTCAGGAAGTCACTTTTATCAGACTCGATTCAATTTATACGATTAAGAGCATGGAAAAACAAATACTAGTTCTGGATGGAAAGTGCTGTCACTAACCAGGCTAACACTTTGTTTGGACAAGGATTGTTAATAGGGTATCTCTTATTTCCACAAGTCAGTAGGGGCAGGATACAAAATGTACTGCTTTTTATAGGGGGCTGGTGATAACGAGAAAAAATTAACCCTTGCTTAGAGAGAACAGAAACTGCAGTAAAGTTGGGGGTTTTTTTTGAGAGCAACTTCTGTGGTTGCTAATGCAGCTCCTGCAGAAACAGCTCCAGCTTGGGAATATCCCGTGGTGTAGAGGCAGGGCTTGACCCCCGGCA